GAATAAGTATTTTAGAGAAAAGAAACAGAGAAAACTATTTTGCCAAATTAAAGCCTTCATATAACGCATTGGTACCCCTTAAGGGTTTTATACGTGGTTTCAAATGCATTTGCTGCAAAATGTTACTCCCAAGTCAGTGTGTGTATATATATATATATATATATATATATATATATATATATATATATATATCTGCCACAAGTACGGCACCAACAAGGAAAGTTTGGCGTAGTCAAACGATATTTTATGGCGACAACAATCTCCAGAGCTTATTTAGTTTGTGATGCACTGGGATGGAGGAGACATAAATAAGGCTATATCGAATGCACACGTACGTGGCAATCTTGCTGTAATTAAATAGTGCATAATTTTATAGGCCAACCCGCAGTGGTCCTTTAAGAAGATCAGATGGTGTTGGTTATATCAGGCAATTTTTAAAGTTTGATTTAATCTCAAAATGATTTAAGGTACTGTAAGATAGACGTGGGAAGTCGCCTGAGAAGTTTTATCATATAGTAATCTCCAGGTGAATGGCCTCATTAGAGGGGTCATCGTCATTACGAAACAAAAGTCTTAAGTGTATTACACGTAACACTCGAGTCCAGGCAAAGGTCGCGCAAAAAGACTAGTCACCATTTTAAAAACTACACTGCTGTAACGGAAAGCGCTGGAATACATTTCGTCTCTTTGGTGTATCACGGTCAAAAATGGTGGCTCAACTTCCTTCCAAAATCCCGTATTACAGGTATGAGTCCTATTTGAAATGTTGATTTTATCAAATTGAATATTTTATATTCGTATCATTTCCATTCAGCTGCTGCGTTTGTACAAGTAAATGCATCATTCAGATACAAGTGTGAACAAGACAGTTAATCAGTTAATTAAAACAGTTAATTAGATTTTGTAATTCATAATTCGAGTTATTAGCGATATGTTTTACTTCATTGTCGAAAACTATCTCTCTGTCGAATCGTCTGTATTGAAATTGCACGAAAATATTTTTATCAATGAGGGTAATCTATATAACAAATCGAATTCCCACGTGTAAAGTACTGTCCTCACTTGAATTCGGTGTTTTATTACCTTTTCTATTTAATACCCTCCTGTGCAATGCAGAAGGAACTGTCAGGTCATTATTTGAGGGGATTTACAGCTTAAAGGTCTAAAACGCGTATAGTATATACATGCACTATAACCTTTTCAAACCTTGCATTTAAAATCAAAACATCTTAATTTACTATTACCGCCAAGTTACCCCCCCCCCCCCAATTTTGACACCAAGTAACAAAATGATTGATGAGTCAAAACATTTCTTTGTGATCGCTTGAAGGTCACTTATGATATCATTATGTTATATATACTATTAAACTCGAATGTATCTAGTTACCAAGCTCTAGCAGTGTCCTAATACACTTGTTGCGTGTCTTACAGAATCCTGGTCTTATATGTAGCTCCAATCAGGAAACGTATTTATTGTAGTATTCTTTAAAAGAAGGTCTAATGTATTCAAGATGCATCTGATGTAGATATCTTAAATAATGTGCCCAGGACAAGAAAAGTTTTTATATGTTATCCCGTCAAATCACCCCCCAAAAGAGGACACCACTAAATATACATAAAAATGCAAAATGTCCCTAAGTAACTATATACCCTTGTGATTTATGCACACAAAAACAACTAAAAGACGCCAATTTACCTTAAATAACTGTTTAAATGATGACGGACGTCCCAGTGTTGGTTATCATTTAAGATAATCTTTATATCGAGATAGAAGGCACTATCCTTTATATTTTTCATGCTCACTTTGTAAACCCGTGCATTAAACTTAAAATTAAACGGGGGAGTTTATGGTTGCTGTCATGCGACCGGGGCCATTCCTCTATCTGGACAAGAGGGGGCTACACTACTAGGGTTACTGCAAGTAGTCGCATACATTACCTGCCTTAGCACAGCTTATTGTAAGTATTGAGGTCCGCTTATCATAACCACAAAACCTTTTTTTATGTTATTTAACTTCTTTTATTATTTCACTATAATTGAAGTGCACCTTATAAATATGCGAGGATTCCTTTCTATTGTTTCATAATATGAAAATAAGCAGGTTATAGAAAGCAAAAAGAAGCAGACAGATAAGAGAACTGTATTCATGCCTTCATTTAAGTCCCAGTTGATACCATCGGGGTCCAGTTATTTTTTATTTCTTTGTGCTCGCTAGGTTTCCTCACTGTGAGGAGATCATATAGAAACCCAGGCTGAAAACCTTTTTAGTTTTATCGTTAAAAGATAATTGTGCTCTCGGTGCACCTGGGTGGAAAAAGGACATCGATGAATTCTGAGCATGCGCGGCTGTGAGCACGACGCAAACCCTTGGCAGTTTTTTTTCTCTTGGAGGGCACGCTGATGTTTCATAAAGTTCCATATCACAGGTAACAATACATTTATCAATATATAAGCAGGATTTCCTTAATCCTGGAGTGATACGTACGTCTGTCTCAAGAAGATCGCTCTCTAGAAATAATGAAATGTATGGTATGTTATTTAAATGTATACACTGTTGCTCAAAATGGTTGTCACATCTACTAGTCAAATTCGGAGATTTTGTTACAATATTTCTTTCGTGCGAACTGAATCATGATAAATTGTTTATCACTAAAGATGCCAACAAACACGTTTATTCTGCAGATCTTCTTTTGATATAATGAGTTTTTTTACTTGTAAATGAATTCTTTTGAAAACAAATTCGGGTAAAACAAAAACTTGTATTTTGTCATGGGAAATTACATTCAATAACAAAATTCCACTTACATTTTTAAAATAAAACTATTGTACAATTTATAGAATAATGTCTCTTTTTTATTTTGCTGGGCGTGGGTTTCTCTTGTCAACTAGGCGAAAATTGCTTTAGATCATATCCTTATACATAACAACAAGTTTTTGGACCCGCTTGAAGCCTTATTTTAGCCTTTCATACCTAAGCTTATTGGTAAGTTCTAAACAGGTGCACAGGAAAAATTGAACTAGTCTCGCCAGTGCATGTTTAAACAAAATTGACAAAATTGTCGCGATTTCATGGACCGATATTAAAGAAAAATTGCCTGCGATAATTGTGGCAACAAGTATTTCTACAATCGTCTTTGACATGCGGTTTAAGTCATTTATTCGACGATTGCTATCAAATCTGAGTCTGACAAACGACAATTATTGTTTATGATTCCTTTTTAAGTGGTGGTGGTGGCGGTGTGAGTGTGCGTGTGTGTGTGTGTGGGGGGTGAAGATAAAAATACATATCGTGACTGACGTGGTTGAAAAAAGTGGGATTAACCCCCCTCCTCCATATTTCCTACGCCTATATTTATGCTTATACGTTTTGATGCCGCATTTTTAAAATTTTCATTTGATTATTTTTGTTTGTTTATATATCGTGCACGGTAGCTCATTATGCTAGAACAGCATACATGAAATTTTTCTATAAAGCCCTGAGGGTAATGACCGGGCCAACTGAGCTTGGGCCCAGTCGTGCTCTGCTAATGACATATGTCCTGATATGCTATAATATTTTCAAAATAATTCATTATTTGGAAATTGAACATTCTTCCCAACATTTGTTTGGATATTATATATTAAAGCGAACATTTTTCAGTCCTAAACTTTACGTAATTGCTATTACTGAACATTATCCAATGTTATGTTCTCAATTACATCATTCATTCTATAAGAGGGATTTTTAAATAAAAGCGACCGACTTTCGAACACGATCCTTGCATTTTCTACAAGGTTAAAAAAGCAACAACAACGCCCTTACCTCCAGCCAACGGAAAAAGTATAAAACTGACAAATAGGTTATAAAAGTACTGCAGTGCCAAGCTATGATCTATTTTCGAAAATATACTTTACTGATGGAGGGGAGGGGATATGGTATTGGTTTGAGATCTATCCTGGATCTGCCAGTGCCAGGTGCAGCTATTGTAACCACACACCTCTGACCGTAATGCCCGTGTATGGGGTATGCCTAAAAAGAGGTGCCCAAAGTTCAAACAATTTGTCATCTGAAAACCAGAACAAAGAGCATATTATCTTTTGAAGAAAAGGGCAGTTAAACACAATCGGTTTCTGACCATGACAAGTAGCCTCCAGCCAGTGATTTTGTGTAATACAGTACACTTGGGCACTGATCCAATATTAACCTCCGAGCTGTATGTTAAATGATGAGGAAAATGGGTTAACTACATTATATTCCTGACCAGCAATACCTTATCACATTGAGCGATAATGTTAGAAAAACAGTCTGTACCGATACTCTTTGAGGGGTCCAAAGTAGTGATTACATTACAGTGGGTTTATTCGCTTTCACAAATTAGTTTCCTCGTGATTGAGCGAATCTTTATCTATCATAAATTGGCTGTTTGGAACGCGCGGGGTGGGGGGCTTGGTTAAGGTGACTCTCTTACGTAATACCCAGGATTTGCCAACCTCTCAAAGTGTATCGGTACAAACCATAAAAAAAGAACTCAATGTGAAAAGGGGCTTATTCACAGCGGTGGTGTCTTGTGCGCAAAGGGATTTTGAAATATTGGACAAAGTAATCATGGTCAATATGTGATAACACTTTGCTGTTATCTGAAATTTGATTAGAGTATTTGCTATCGTCTGAATCGGAAGATGGTCTTTACTTTGAGACCGAAATTTCTCAACCGTTGGTCAAGACATTGTCTAGATCTCATAATAATAATAATAATAATAATAATAATAATAATAATAATAATAATATAATTTGTGGAATAGACCTACTGGTAATTTCCTCTTTTAAGTGGAATGCGAAATATTTATTATCCTAGGATGAAATAAACATCGAGTTAAGAACTACTTTCAGCCTAACTCTTTCCGTGAAGGCTCGAGCTCTCTTAATATATGAGGAGTTTGCCATAACAAAATACTTCCACCTTTAGAGTTAAATGAGAAGGGAAAATACACACATATAGTAGTTTTTTTTCTAATTTCAGTCTTACAAAACGCAAAAACGACCAGAATTCTTTCGTGAAGTATGACGAGTTGGATGAAGAATACACATACGATGAACAGCCGGTGGAGGCGTCTGAGCCTGAGAAGGCTAACTGCTGCACAGCGTGTTGTGACCCTAGGTCTCCCTGCCCATGCGGCTGTGCCAAACGCTACACCATGGCTATCTGCGCGGGCGTTGGATTCATGATCTCTTTTGGAATTCGGTGCAATTTTGGGGTAGCTATTATACAGATGACCAACAATGCCACGTGGCATCTCGGAGGAGTTGAGCAGTTTAGAGTAAGTATTTATTTATTTATTTATTTATTTATTTATTTATTTATTTATTTATTTTTAGGTCTGACCGTAATCTTTTCAGTCCTTAACCCTAAACAGTGTAAAAGCATAATGTAGCGCTGTTCCCCCTTCATCTTTTATCATTCGAAATTGCTGCACATCCTGCTGTACCTCATTGTTCTACCAACATGTTTCTACAGGTACAGTCCTTCTTCCCTGTAGATACACAGAAGACTTTTTCCGCTGTGCTCCATGACACCCCCGCAATTGTCTCCCAGCTGTTTTCTTCCTCCCAGTCCACTTTTATTATTAAGTCTTCCTTGAACCAAGGAGTTACTGTTGTAACTCCTTGCTTGAACTTAGTGTTAAGCTCTTCCTCCTTTCACCGCCACCACTTTATACTTGACTCCACCTCCACCATCTTTCTTGCCTTCACCCTTACATACTGTAGAGCTACTGAGGATTGACACCTAAACAAACTCACAGCCGCACGCATGCAGGTTCACCTTTAATTAATCTTAACCTAAGAGGCCAAGAATTATGATAACAATTTTCTATCATTTCTTCCTAATACGAAATTTATCTCACTGCCAGACACAATTCAGTTTGTTTTATATTTCAAAATCTTACCCAGTAAATTTATTTTTTCATAGCCGCCAGAATTTGAGTGGTCTAATACAGTGATCGGGCTGATCGACAGCTCCTTCTTCTGGGGATATATAGTGACGCAGATTCCAGGAGGGTACCTTGCTTCAAGGCTACCTGCCAACAGGTAAATTTCACGATCTTTACATTAACATTTTAGAATTGTCTATTACTTACGGGTGGTTTCCGAGCAAATACAAGTATGATTCTGCAATATGATACTGATATTTGCATACAATATTGGGTTTGGAAATATAAGCATGTAATTATACTGCCAACAAGGCATTAAGTATCAAAGAATGTACGTGATACGTTTTCCACTTCATTTTAATGCAGATAATTCCTACAATTACCCTGTAAATTAATAGCAATAATTTGTCTTAATTTCAGAGTGTTTGGGTTTGCAATAGGGATATCTTCCTTCCTGAACCTGCTCCTCCCAGGTGCTTGTAAGGTCCACTATGGCCTGGTTATCGCTGTTAGGATTCTACAGGGTCTAGTTGAGGTGAGTACGATTGAAATCCCTTGAGACCTCTTTACGGCGATCCGAAAACAAAAGGAGACAATCAAGAGGTACTATGTGACAGGGATGCTTTTTTTTGTTGTGTGCAATTGATTTTCCTTAACAACAAATGTGATTGTGTTTTTTTTTAAACAAAATGATTGGTTTTAGTATAACTTTAGTGTAATTATCCTGTTATCGTTATTTTACAGAACTACTGTACATTGTAAATGCAGATAAGTGTGTGAGATTTTGGTAACTAAATCTAAATCTTTCAAAAGAATGCCGACAGACAAAATAAAAACCCCAGTAAAATACTGAGTTTAAATAAAAGAACTAAATAAAAGAACTTGGGACTAACTTGATCTGCATATTGGAGGATCGAAGAAATGTGTTTTTATTATGCATTGCAGGGTGTCACTTATCCCGCCTGTCACGGTATATGGAGACACTGGGCTCCGCCAATGGAGCGGTCAAGGCTGGCCACTCTAGCATTTTGTGGTAAAAATATAGATTTATTTTTTTAATTTCATTTTTATTTTTGAAAGAATAAAAGTGCATGACCTGCTTTACCCTCGTTAATGTGATTTTTGAGAGATATTTGCCTGCTTTTTAAGTACATCAAGATAAATAGTTGCCACACGGGACGGTAAATAGGTCTCAAACAAAACATTTTATAATGATATGAAAAAAAATGTTCCTGTAGTATCCAACAATTTATATAATTGGTTTGACACTAGGCCTGATAGGTTTATAAAAACATTATCACTCTATAAACAATCATTCTAGGTTCATATGCGGGCGCCGTGATTAGTATGCCACTGTCAGGGATACTTACAGACTACCTGGGCTGGCCAGCATGTTTTTACTTTTACGGTATGCTTCAAACACTAACACCCACGTAGTTAATTTGGATTCGTCGTGCCTCAATTTCCCTTTCCTTATCCAATAACTCTCCCCTCTCCACATTTTATTCGCCTCTCTCTCTCTCTCTCTCTCTCTCTCTCTCTCTCTCTTGAGCATTTGTGACGTCATATCTACATGTAACTGCACTGAATTAAATTACGGGCAGTACAAGTACGAGTAGTCAAAATTAGGAGTGCACATTTTTATGTACATTTTTGTTTGTTAATGTTTGTCCAGAGAATGTATCGTAATAGCAACATTGTCTTATTATGGAACTTTCTTTTCACGAACAGTTCTATGGCAATTGATGTACCTCGCATTAACATCGAACGTTATATGACGAACATAGTGCATCAATTTACTGATTGAAACCTTGAATTGAACTATCGTTTAAATCAAGAGCTTGTCAGACGGTATCTAAGCAAACTGTACTCTGAAAGGAAGCCCTTTAATTGCCAAGAATCATGTGACAACGAAAAATGTAATAACAACATTTCAATTTTCAGGTGCGTTTGGGCTGATTTGGCTGGTAACATGGATGTTTCTGTCTTTTGAAAAGCCGTCTACTCATCCCCGTATTACTAAAGAGGAACGGGATTATATTGAGTCTTCTATAGGCGAGGCAGATACGTTGGTCATTAGGGTAAGAATTGTTGTGTGGTTGTTAATTGATATTCTGACATCTAATTTCAAGCGTTGACTTACATTTCTTCGTGTATCACAATGGAATCGAAATGAATTTGAATATTTGTTGCCCATTTCCTCCTAAAGTAATCATGCAAGTTTTTTTCTTCCTTTTATATAATTAAGTTTGAACAAAAGCCTTAAGTCCACCATGTGAAGTGATATGAAGAAATGGTTAATCAATAATGTTTTCATCAGCATGTGTTTTCTGAGGCACGATTTGATGCTGAATACGAATTTTTTTCAGAATTAAACAGATTGAACTCTTCTTAGAATGAAAATGATGAGCCATCAGTAGTAGTTATGTGTGTGTGTATGTGTGTGTGTGTGTGAGAGAGAGAGAAGTAAGCGAGGGGTACCAAAGAAGTATTGTATACTGTAATTTAAATTTCTTAAGTTCAATAAATAAAAAAAGAATTCTTAGATGTAACTTCAACATGAAAAAGAAAAATTTTAATTTACCATGCAGTGTGTATCTGGTGTACGCATTTAGTGTAAATGCAATTTAAAATTCTGATTTCTTATATCTGATAGGGATTTTCCCATTTTTCATTTTGGCAGTGCCGCGATTTTCCTTTCGGTCATTTTCATGTCTGAGCGCATCTTTATACATTGTTCCACAGAAAGAGAATAAAAACGAAAATACAATAAAAGTAGCTTTTATTATTATCATTATTATTAGATATGATTATTATTAGGTATTATGTAGATATAAATGAATATGAACATTATATAAAACTGATTAAATGTGAACTCAGCTTAAGAGTAGGAATTTACGATCATCTCTTCTAGAATCCACCTATCTCAGATTGCCCCATCCGTCTCTTATATTTGCTTTCAAGATTTGATTTTTCTCCTCACTTAATTTTCTTTTACAACATTTTCCCGTAATGCTGACCGTGTTAATTCATTAGTTATGTAATCTCTTTATTTATATCCTTCTCGAAACTCGTCCTAGCTCCGTCCTCCCATACCAATGCACCTAGGCCACAAAGGTGTGGCTTGCTACAGCCCACCGGTGTACCGGTGGGTGGATTCCGTGGAACAAGAAATACAAAAACGCAATTTCTGTTAAAAGTGTACAAATATTTATCATGCAACAAAAGACAATTGTTTTTGACAATTGAAAAAATCCCATATCGTCTTTTCATTTTTTGTTGTAATAGGAAAAAGGATTCAATATTTTGATTTTCTCTTTCACAGAACGCAAAGACGCCTTGGAAAGGCATGTTTACGTCCATGCCTGTTTACGCAATAATCGTTGCCAACTTTGCTCGAAGCTGGGCATTTTACCTTCTCATCACCAGCCAGCCATCTTATTTCGCGCAAGTACTACATTTTGATATATCAAAGGTATGTAGAAAATAAACTGCTTTGCCTTGAAATGTTTTGTAAGATCTAGTGTGTGTCTGTGTGCCCGCGCGCACTCGTGCCCGCGCGTTGCCAAAACCTCTTGATAATTTAGGCACACGTAGGACTTAATAAAACTTCATAGGCCTGACATAATAAAGTTCGCGTAACGTGCCTTGGGCATAGCAAAGGAAAGAAGTTTATTCGTTCCAATCTAAGCAGTATTATACATGTATATACATGTAGAATAGGAGAACAGGTAAAGCTTTTAATGGTAATAAGAGTGGACGATATTTCCGAGCGCCAAATGAAACAAAACGTTTCATAACACTTTGGGATTTCGTATATGTCCGCACATGCCTTATGGTCTTGTTGATGAAGAAGTGTTTTTAAATTTGTATTACTTCAGAGCGGCATCCTGTCGGCTCTGCCTCACTTGGTGATGACCATCATTGTACCGCTAGGGGGACAGCTGGCTGACTTCTTACGGTCAAGAAAATATCTTAGTACAACAGCTGTCAGGAAAATTTTCAACTGCGGAGGTAATGCCTAAAGACTCTCGCTATTCCATTCTAGTATAATTTATTGTTCGAGACCTTTGTGAAAAAATGGTTTAAATATTCGAACGGAATGAGGAAAGACAATTTTTAATTTCGAGGCGGAAAGGCCTGTGCCGAAAATACTTATTTCTCAAGGCTTATATTAAGCAGAAATGACTTGTTATATATGCAACACCTGCTAAAATGCAGAGCTCTGTTAAAACAATTTTTGTTTCACATATTTCAGGTNGTCTGGTTACGCCCCTGACTTAATAAAACTTCATAGGCCTAGCATAATAAAGTCTGCGTAACGTGCCTTGGGCATAGCAAAGGAAAGAAGTTTATTCGTTCCAATCTAAGCAGTATTATACATGTATATACATGTAGAATAGGAGAACAGGTAAAGCTTTTAATGGTAATAAGAGTGGACGATATTTCCGAGCCTCAAATGAAACAAAACGTATTATAACACTTTGGGATTTCGTATATGTCCGCACATGCCTTATCCTGTTGATGTAGAAGTGTTTTTAAATTTGTATTACTTCAGAGCGGCATCCTGTCGGCCCTGCCTCACTTGGTGATGACCATCATTGTACCGCTAGGGGGACAGCTGGCTGACTTCTTACGGTCAAGAAAATATCTCAGTACAACAGCTGTCAGGAAAATTTTCAACTGCGGAGGTAATGCCTAAAGACTCTCGCTATTCCATTCTAGTATCGTTTATAGTTCGAGACCTTTGTGAAAAAATGGTTTAAATATTCGAACGGAATGAGGAAAGACAATTTTTAATTTCGAAGCGGAAAGGCCTGTGCCGAAAATACTTTTTTCTCAAGGCGTATAATAAGCAGAAATGACTTGTTATATATGCAACACCTGCTAAAATGCAGAGCTCTGTTAAAAAAATTTTTGTTTCACATATTTCAGGTTTCGGTTTGGAAGGGCTTTTCCTTCTGGGTGTTGGCTATACACGTGACCCAACGACAGCGATAATCTGTTTAACTATAGCCGTAGGCTGTAGCGGCTTTGCGATATCAGGTATGCTAAATTCGAATGACTGAATCCGTTCGATTTTTATGTTGACATTAGTACGGCTTGTATGTAATTAGTATTTGTCGTCGATTCACATGGTAACTGTATTCTTATATTTTTATAAGGTTTCAACATCAATCACCTTGACATCGCGCCCCGTTATGCTAGTATTCTTATGGGCCTCTCAAATGGAGTGGGGACGTTAGCCGGGATGCTTTGCCCTATTACTGTGGAACTTGTCACCAAGGACAAGGTAAGAGACTGAGCTGACAATTCATACGTGTAAATTATACATATGCACTAGTACGTCTTGTACCATCGGTCTGTTTGTAGGGAATTTTGTCTGTTTGTAGAGTGCCTTTAAAATTGATAGGCCTACCTGTGTATGTAGATAATTTTTAATAGTCGTTTATAAGCAATACTATACATTATTATAATTGAACAAAGTATGTGATACATTGAATGATGTCTAATCTGTACAATTTCAAATTTTAACTCTATTAATTAAAATTCTGTTCTCAGACTGCTAAATCTTGGGAATACGTGTTCTTGACTGCCAGCTTAGTTCATTTTGCTGGTATAACCTTTTACGGCATATTCGCCTCTGGGGAAAGACAACCGTGGGCTGATCCACCGCATGATGGTTTCTCTGAGTGGAAGCCAGATATGGATAACCCCATCCAACCGCACAAATCCATGTCGTATGGGACCCTTACCTCTGATGGACCGATATTCCCAACTAAAGAAGAGTTTGTTCAAGTTGATGCTAAAGACAGATATCTAAATGGTGACGCCGAAGACAGAAGTTTAGAGTGAAGTTTGAGTCTAATCACGTGTAGCAAAAATGTCTCAGTATCCGCACAATATTGACTGTATTAACGTTGTGTTGTTTAAATGATATACATAATAGTATAAAGGATACCTTTCGGGTTAGCTGCAATCTTGGTGTTTCGAATTATATCCCATTATAGACATAATGTAAGTATTCACTTTACAACTTCTTGCTATAAACATAGAGACGGAAATTAAGCACATCAACAGTCATACGCTTTTACTTGTTTAGGCTCTTGATTTTCAACTCTACTAGACATAAGGTCTTTTTAGCATTCATTAAGCAGGTTAGGTACCAACTTTACCTAAGTAGGTCATAAACTTGGTTCCAAAATAATCTTTACCAAGGTCTCAGTTATTATTGTGGACATTTTTTAGAGAATTATCTGTGAATATCTGCGAAAAATCAATCTGTCGCCCTGTTAGAGGGTAGTTCCAAAATGGGAAATTAGTAGCGTTGTTAAGGGTACATTTTGGTATTAAAAAGTATGCATCCCAGTGCGAAACTAAAACCAATATTAAGTTGATTAAAAATCCTTTAATTACAATGGGTAAGACTTAATGCCTCTCTCGCATTTTTAATAAGGAATATTACCGTCTTAGTTGGCTACCACAAGCTGACAACTCTTCGCAGGGATTGAACCAGTGCTTGATATTCTTGTGTATAACCGTGACTTATTACTGTAGTCCATACATAAGCGCAGATATGTATCACATAATGACCACTTTATAAAACATATATAATCAAAACTATAAAAACTATGCTTAACTTTCGTCTCTATGTTTTTATTCTCAAGAACTGTTAGTTTCTATATCTGATGTTTAAAGGACTTAAAGGATCTGGAATTAGTAGTTAGATGTAGAACCAATGGCAACTTTGAGAAGGAAAATAGTCGACCAGTCTTGTTTTTCCTAAAAATGCAAAATAGTCATTAGCAAAAGCTTAAACGCTTTATCAGTTTTTCTTGATTCCTCGTTTCGTTGCAGAAAAAAAAAATAATGGGAAGTATGAAAAAACTAGTGAGTGCGAAGTACAAAGTGTGATTTTTAAGTGATATGGAAAACAGAAACCGTGGGCCTGCTTTAGAGGACCCATTTGTGTTACTTATCTCAATGAGCTTCATGGAGCTCATTGCTTATCTATACCTTATAAGTGATAAACAGTATAAGACAATCAGTCCAAGTACGTTAAAAAAACTTGGACAGTGTTACTCCCAAAGCAATACTTGAAAAAAAAAACTCAACTTTACATTTACTTGGCTGTAGTGTATTTAAGCTAAAGCGGGGTTTAAAGGGAAGAAGGGCTGCCTTTTTCGTGTTTAATGAGATCGACTACTGGTGTGAGTGTGATATAGTCACAGCAATTTGTATACGAACCGGTATTTAATTGTTCCGAGTTCTGAAATATTTCTTAACAGGGCTTGCGCAATCGTAAGTGTAGTGATATCTCAAACTATTCATAAAATATGACATACATGTGAAAGGTTGTCTGTGTTTTTAGGAAATTTACGTTAACCTACGCCCACTTAAATGACTAAATGTTTCTTTATTTCATAAATGAAATGCACTATATGATACCTGAACTTACTATATTGAAACGCTGGTATACCAAGTAGATAAATGGCATATTTTCCATAAAATAACATCTATTACATGCCTGATATTGTTGTGGAATTAGCGTCATCTGACTACTTAAGAGTTATGTTAACTACAGTTAAATAACATACATCTTTTCTGAAGTCGACAGGACATGCAACGAGTCGTTAATTGGTACAAATGTATGCGGCTGTTACGAGAACAATACAGATATCAAAACAAATAGTTGTCTATATCATTATCATTATCTAGAAAGCACACTGTACTTATATCCATAGAAATCAGTTTGTGCTGATAACTTACGAACGTTTAGATATCATTCGAACGTTTTAACTTGTTAATCATTAAAGAGAATACTTTCTTACAGTCCGAATAGTATTGACATAAAGCATAAACCTTCACGCAGAATTCGTGAGTTTTTTCCAGTAGTCTCTTTACGATCTTGATATGTTATGTAACTGGTGTATAATCAGATGTTTAAAATGTGTTGAACACAGTCGATAACTATATATGCTGGTGTACATGTATAATAAATCGCAAATATTTAGGAGCAAATGACAAACTTTTACGCAGTCACATTTTTGCTTTTATTTTTTTCGTCGCATGATTTATCTGTGTTTTTTTCTGGCTTACTGGCTGATTCATATGCTTAGAAGCCTGGGGTTTACCCATCCCCCAGAAACACACACACACACACACACACACACACACACACACACACACACTCTCTCTTTTTTCAAACACGTCAACCATACTAATAAACACAGAAAGCAGAGGAAAAGGAGCCACGACCACCACCACAACCGTTTAAAAATGGCTACTTACGCACCTAAAATTATATAACTATAATGTCGTTCTTGTTGAATGTATTTGAAGAATAGATTTGTACCAACGCATTTTTGGGGGGAGTCTCCTGTCATGAGACGAGTGAAAACTGTCCCACTTTACACTACAGAAACCGACCTTACAGTCTCAAAATGTCGTTTTACTCATTGGATTAAATATTTTAAACTTTGGTCCTCTTTATGTATCCTGAGTACCTAGAGGACACTTGAAATATTCACCTCTCTACTATATGTATCAACACGTTGCCGACATTACTAGAAAAGACGGCGACATGCTGATAATTAGGTAAGAGGTGAGTTTCCGCGGTCCTCTGAGACTCCTGATGTCTTTATGGCTTGTAGTCGACAACTTTTGATCTTAATCGTTAGTTGTGGTGATAATCAATCTGTTTAACATAAAATCGATAAATACAAAAATGGTGACCCATAAATAAAAGAATATCGTCCATTTATTCCATTAAATCAAACTAATCTGTTGATATCATTATCACATATTGTTAAGTAAAAAGGTCAACATGTCATCAATTTTGATTTTTTTCTGTATGTCCCTCTTATTCTGTATGCTTTGGAGAACAGTACGACGGCGTGGACATGTAACGTCCTAGTCACACTACATTCGCAAAAGTGAACCCAAAAGGAGATACTGGATTCGCTATTTCTTAATCCATTTTGCCCCATTTAATTTGTTTATATCATTTATTTCTTTATTTTTCTGCGTGTGGACGTGCTAGGAAGGGCTACACCATTATCCCGTATCACTTAGGCCCCTACCCCGTGCTGTATTGTTATTAGTAAACCCAGCACCCCTTCCTGAAACCTTCCCTGTATGTTGACCCCCTTTCCTTTATAATTAAATCCCAGACCGGTTGTTATATGTGTTCTATACACCCCCCGTGGGATAGCAACAGATTTTTGCAGACCAACATAGAGTTAAGTTCAGTGTAATCTCTAACAGAAATGCAACACGCTTTTGGTGCATTACCGTTAAAACGAGACAGGACAACAGTTATATCGCCATACGAAATGCATCAGTTGAGACAATATTATGAATGTGTCAGCTGTGACTTCTCTAAACACAATCAAGAGTCTGGTCACGTTGACATGCATGAGACTGATATAAGGCTCCGTTACACCTAGCTTAAAAGGGTAGGCACATGGGTATCGTTTGTGACATCGATTATACGCACAATCTGAGCCTATGAAGTCACCCTATTTTCAAGGTATTGATGAAGACATAAAGAGCGTATGAAAATGCTTTTGAACATTTAAAGAACATTTTGTGACCCTTCGGGTACCACAGCGTTTGCTTGCGTATTCGAGACGTGTACACTGTACGACGTAAGTCTAACGAAACTTGTCTGATTTACGAAATTAAGATGAAAATCTGCTTTTTAAAAAGTTTTATTATATCTAAGATATATAGAACACTTTGTCATCAGACTTTGCAATCGCTTTGACATGAAAATGTGTTAGACGCAGATAGCGGTTCAGTAGAAGAAGAAGATAGGTGGTTATATATTATTTATATGGGCTACTAGATAGACAGAAGTAATAAAGATGCTAATGATATACATATGGTATTATAATATCAGCGCTCCAAGTTGATCATTACAAAATTATAGTTAACAATTATGATTCTTCAGATTGCTGTTGAGGTGGGAAACGGCAAAGGCAATTCGTTGGCTCATCTCGCTTTTGCAGTTTTCGGCAACAGTGGCCTGGCCAATGCAAGCTAGGAACTGAACTCCATGGTCCACGCGACTGAAAAACATAAGTGGTTATAATTATGGATGATTCGATGACGTCATCAAATAATTTGACAGGTCTCGTTTTCAGGCAATGATAGTGCCTAATATACATGCACAGATAAACTGCATTGGACACAATGTATCGTTGTTTGTGGGGAAATGTGAACATACAACTGCAGCAAAGTTTCTACCATATCATATGCAGGTCATCGGCCATACGTAACAAGTTCTAAAAAAATGCAGCCGCTCTTTCACTCCGTTTACAACGGACTTGCGACCACTTTGAAGACGATTTTTGGACTATACTCTGTCATCTGAACACGTAGCAGAAACTCTTGCAGTACTCTTGGCTATCAATGGCAGATTTATATTTTTATCTCATTGCCAATAAGATAAAGTGAGTTTCGTATTAATTTTTATTTCCGTTTGGCATTAATAAAAGTGACCTTAATGATCAAATATCAATCAACCTATATATTGTGTTTGTCAAGTCAATTAATGCATTCATATTCCACGAGATATGGAGGAGATATAAATGGGACTTGCTAGTAAGTTGGAATTGCTTATTTAGTGTAAAAGCGATAAAGCCACGATAGCAGAGAACGACTGAGACTTGTGATACATGTAGTTACCAAATGTTCGTAATCTTGGTAGTTGCGTTAAGGTCGCAAACAGTGTGTAAAAGGAATTTAAAAGGCACATGCCGATTTGGTGTAAAACTAAAGGCGACGAAAGCAGAGAACGGCTAGACTTGTGAGAGTTACCAAAATTTCGTGATCGTCCCAGTCTAACAAAGGTAGCAATCCGATGTAAACAGGATATTTGGAAGTAAGAAAGTCGTTTTTGTATATTTAGGGCCTACCTTTCACAGGACTCTGATGCCATCTTTCCAATCTTTTTGTAACATGCCGTATACGTCCCTATTATCTGGTCCATGCAGCCTGAAGTGAATGTTTTAATTTTGAATGTAAATAAAATCACAGGTCATTATCACAGGCCATTAGCCAGGGTAGCCAGGGGGGGGGGGGGTCGGGGGGTTCGAAAGAACTGCCCCTTTCGTCAGGAAAAGGTCCATTTTGGGTAAAATTTTATCTAGGTGCACATAAGTTTCTTTGTAAAAGGTCCACTTTTTCAGAAAAAAAAAAACCCCTTTTGAATTTGCTGGCTACGCGCCTGTTATCATAAGTGATATATTTTACTAATATTGATACTGGTCACCTTCCCCCCCCCCCCCCCCACACACACACACACACGCACAAACACATGCACACGCACACACGCGCATTTTCTTGGATTAGAATTGAAATTAAAACAAAAACAACACTACTTGTTTGTACAATTATTTCCCCCGATTTTACCTTCAGACTTCTTGCTTATCAAATTTTCGGAGTCCATCAGCTCCTCGAGAACACGTGTCAAAAGAGACACCTCATCTGAGACTGGTGATCCTGAAATAAGAATGAGGTGTACATTAAAATCTGAGAGAAGCTAATTAATGTCTATTAAAATGAACTGAAAACCTCAACCACAAAGGACTTTATCACAACATACAAGCATGCAGACAGTAGGGCCTATATCCCAGAGTAAAGCACGTCCTTGGCTTCAGGTTTTAAATGTCAAGTTGCAATGTTGCTTTACAACTGTTAGAAGTGAAGGTAATAAATTTCAGATGGTAACAGAGAGATAATGGTAGGCAGTAATGCAATGCTTAATGGTATTTATGTACAAAACTTTAAAGTGTGCATTCGCGCCTCGAGTTAAAACATGAATAAAAGGAAAGAATAATCAAAAAGGAAATGGCCACAGTGTGGCCTTTGTCTGCCAAGATACATGTATGCTGTCTGAAATTTTCTTCCCTGCTGATTCTAAAATGCTTTTCTATAGATGTTATTGCCTTTAGAGATCACTCAGTGTTTCCTCAACGAACTGATTTAGTGGGCCAACTTATCCTCTTTATATGGATACTAACATTTTACACCTCAACATTGTGTTTTTCACAATGCTGAACACATCTAGTTACTTTCCCCCTCATTATGTAACACTCCCGAGCTGGCATGAATGGCTGTTTAGATAGCATGTTGAAAGTTCAGGAACTGCAGTGAATAGCAGCTGAAATCAGTGGTGACTATTGGTTTACTTGCATAGTTTGAATGTTTTTGTTTAGTACGGTTGCACCATGGTGACCAAGAAGTGACACTGCACCCTGCCTCCTAACCCGTTCATCTCTTTCGACACACCTAAAAGGTTGAGATTATACTGTATACGTCTAGACTTGTAGACGCTATATTATACAACAATGCCACTCATAAGTACAAATGTAAGTACATGTACTCATAACAATATAGTATGTGGCGCAGTAGTAAAAAGAACAAACTCGTCAGACCCCGGTTTACGCTATATATATTATAACAAAGCCACCTTGTCTCCCCGTAGTGCTAGACCAATTTCATTTAGCCAGATCGTTTCCATGACTTCACAACCAAACCCAATATGGAGGTGCAAATGAGGTTACAGGCAACCTCTTAAAATATTTAGTGCACAGATTGCTAACTACGTTTGATAATTTTAGTGTCCCAAATAAAGAAGTTTGTATCAAAGATTCACCCTCCTGGAACCATGAAAAATAAAAAAAATTATTCATCGCATAATCCCAAAAAAGAAACATACATGTACGTTACTGTCATAAATGCAAAACATCCAGCTGGGGAAACATTTTACTCACTTTGAAAACTCAATTATCACTAAATTTGTTCTTTAATTTATCAGACAGTACATCGCCTCCTCCGCCCTTATACTATACATTATTTCATTATTTGAATCAGTTTCATATAAACAGAATTTTCTTTCAGTTCCCAACCAAGTACTCATTACTTCCTTTAGTCGAAACAGTTTTCAATTTTCCACACTTTTTTCATCAGTGTAGTATTATTGGCAGCATAGTATATGGTGCAGTAGTAAAAACAACAAACTCATTTGCACCTTACACGTAACTAAGATCTAATATCCGTTTATTAGATCTTAGCACGTAAGTAGCTCATCTTGTAAATGTAAATCGCTGCATTGTGATTCAAGATCAGGGAATATATATATATATTCACTTACATTAATTTTCCCTGAAGCACTTACTCTAAAATACAAGTTGTTGGCGCCACTTACCTAAAACTGACGTAACTGCGACCACACACAACAAAATCAGGTATTTTGCCATTTTCCTTTAAATGTGGTTTCTCAACTGTGCCCTTGGTGCTACTCAGTTTAGAAGGTTAGCTGCAAATACCCGTCGTAACTGGTTTAAGAATTCGGGCGTTTCCTTTATATCATGTATATGGTCCTGCTCTCTATAGAAGGTGATCCTTTCCTTCGTGGGAAGAGGGTGACCATAACAAAGATCGCTTGCTTTTGGTGATGTAGGGGTGTTCCATAATTGTTGTTAGGCAATGACCTGGAACTTTCTTACGATGACCATCGTCTTATATTGTTAAGGGCTAGGACTCCTTAACTCAAAATACGTCTGACTAAAATAACAAATGTAAAATGTTATATAATATACACTGCTTTGGTTTGCAAATGATCACGTATCACAGTTTTAATAGTGCTTTTCAACCAGACACATATCTTACATGACTTATGGCACAAAAAATACAGATTATCGGTAACATTCACCCCGTCAAATCTGATGTTCCACAAAAATTAAATCAGCAGCCAAAATTTAAACCAATGCTGTGTATTTGACAAAGCACAGTTTTTAAACATGTGACAGAAAACAATGACACCGCGATTGTGTAAATATTCTAATTGTCTATGAGTTTCCATATTTGATTCTAAAATATTGTGCCGTAGTGCAGATTCTATGCATTAGACCCAAATGAGATTTTGGTGGAAAAAATGCTACTTCGCTGGGAGCAAGTTCTACATTTGTACATCGCTGAATAGGTCATTCCTCTTTCCCTCTTTCTGATCTCGTTGCAGAATTAAAAGAAACTGATTGGAAAGTATCAGCTTCGTTTGTTCAAGATATGAAAGATTACTTTATTATTTTACCTTTTGCACAAAATCACTTTAATAAAGTTGGATTTTGAATACAAGAAAACTTCTTTAGCACAGACGTTCCTGTACAGTCTTGCTTATACAGACTTCATTAAAACAATAATTAAAAAAGCACAGTAAAAAAAAATCTTCATTTAGAAATAATTTTTATCTCCCCTCAGAGCCATACTTATTCTGAAACTCCTCTGATAACTATTTGACCACGACTGTGTGATCATGGGAAATTCGAATAAAGCCACGCCCGGCCTGGCCCATCTAGAGCAAATCAAACCTCAAAATATGTTAAATACAGTCGATAAATGTGCATCCTGCTATGCATTTTTTAATCTCATTTCAATTCTCAGTTGGCATAGAGAATGTTAAAGTTAAATCTCCAGATTAAGCACCACTAGCCGAGTTTCTGCATGATGAATGATGAAAATGAGCTCAACGCAAAAATGTGTCAGAACTCCCCTCTTACAGGTACAATCGAATGAAAGGAAAATAATTAAGTTCTTTTTTTCTTTTAACAAATCACAAATTTGACTCACAAGTCTACGACATTAATTCTGATTTTCTTTATTTTAATACTTCTTTGCATCAACACAACCTTACGTTATAGGGTATCATGGAATTTAATGGTCCCCGAGGCCAACCTCCACTCTGAAATAGATGGCACTGATACACAGCGGGTTAAGGGTAGTTTTTAAGGAGTGTACCCACTCCCACTCCTTTTGCCTTTAATCGTTTGTCGCTATTATTTTTCATTTTCATTTACTTATTCTATTTATTAATTATTTCATACAGTCATTCTAACCGACACAAGGTAAAACACGTGTAGGCCTACTATCTTCCTTTATCCCTCTGAAGCCTTCCTTACGTCTCCTCTAGTAAAATCCCGCATTCCTACCCCTTCTTCTTTCTCGTTACAGTAAAATCCCGAACCTTCTGGAAATAAGGATGGCCTGTTACAGAAATACGTGACTTGATTACTTCATTATAGAACAGGACGACAGTAATGGAAACTACTAGAAATGCGACAGTTGAACCAGTTTTGAATGTCTTCTCTGAACGCAATCCCCTCACCTCAGCATGCTGACATGCGTGGATTCTTATTCTGGCACAGAGATCGAATTGACGAGGCATTATCGATATTTTCAAACGTTGTGCATATTTGTTTTTGGTTTATCTAATTTTATTTCTAAATTTTTCATTTTTCTCTGAAAAACATACTCTAGTGGCAGCACTTCACTTAAAAATTCATTGTAGGTCAATTTTCATATTTATCAAGCATGTAGGCCTACTATTATTCACTAGCCTACTTATGCATAGCCTATGCATAACCACCTTTCTGTCTTAAAACTTCTGTTTTTTTTTTAACCAGACTTAGGTTAAGTACCGCAATATTTCAATTTTATAATGAAGTGGTCAATAATGGGGAAGGAACCTTCCAATACACTAAACCTAATTATGATCAATATTTATTCATACGAAGTCATACATACACACAATGGACAATAGAAGTGTCACCCCCTGAATCAGAGTAATCAAGTAGGTACATCTTGAGTAGTTATAATGCCTGGTCTACTTATAATGTGACTAATGAGTATAAAACTGCTGTACCATGGAATTGTATTGTTGGTTTGTGAAATTTGATGTTAATAATCAGTGGCGGATCCAGAGATATTTTCTGACAGTCTTCCAAATTATCTTTGTTGCGCCATCCCCCATTTTTTGACCGTCTTCTGACAGAAAAAAAAGATATCCGTCAATGTAAACTTGAAAATCTGACCGTCTTCCGGAAGACCCAGAAGACGGCCTAAATCCGCCCCTGAATAAAATGATACCAGGAGCATATCCAGGCCCGTAGCCAGCAATTTCAAAAGGGGGGTTCGTTTTTTGAAAAAGTGGACCCTTTTCCATAAAAACTTCATGTACCTAGATCAAATTTTACCCAGAGTGGACCTTTTCCCAGCAAAAGGGGCGGTTCTTTCGAACCCCCC